TTTATTTTTTTTGATAATGGGTTGAACTACAAACAAAAATATTTTTACTACAAATAACTACAAACGAAGTACTATCATTTTACTTATTTAAAACTTTATTTATTAAAAGTCGGGTGCCAAGTTCACATAGGTCGTGCGCGGTGTCAAGTTTCACGCCTTCTCGGCGTTCGACTTCGGTCATTGCCCGGTCATTACCCAGTGCATCTTATTTATTTGGTAGGATTCCTATAGTTGGAATCCATGGGTATAGGCTAGCTGCTTACAAGTGGCAGTCTTTATCTTTTAGTTTTAACCATCTGGAGTCGGCTGAAGACTCCAGCTAAAGCAGAGTTTTTATTTTATGACTTTCTTGGCACCAATAGGCACACTGGTTGGTCAAGAATGTTTGGAATATCGATGCCACCTGCTACCTTTTCCCGTGAGAAAACTCGAGCTTGCAAAGTCTTATGAGAAAAGCAGCTTCGGCGTTAAGATACTCTTTTGGTTTGTGTCGCGTTTACTAGGTCTGGTGTTCAGTATTGTCGCTTATTCGAAAAGAAATAAATCGTGAAGTCTGATCAGGACGTAACAAATATAACAGTGTTTACTGGGATAGTTTAATTATTTTTTTTACACTACCATAAACATATTGTAACAAGACATTTTTTTATTCATTTTTTTATATTACACCACTAATGATCTTAGTAAATCTATTAGATTAAACTTATTTTATTTTCTTTTATTTTCTTTTATTTCTAAAACCTTTTCCGCTCATTTCCCGCTTTTTAAAGGAGGGAGTCTAAAAATGGCCAATTTTGGCCATAAACAAAAATCTTTAAAACCTATGTTACTATTTTGAAAGCAGTTACCATATATTCATGAAAAAAGTTTATTTTACCCAAGAAAGCTTGGGCAAACTTCCAAAAATAATAAAGTAAGTTGTTTAAACACTTTGCAAAAAAACTCATGTTGTTTCTAATAAACGATGATAGATTTCAAAACTAATAGTGTGTTTACATTTAACATATGTTGGACCATTAAATACTGTAAGAATACACTACCAGGAAGATCCACAAAATATATATTTATATACAGAGTGTTCAAGAAAAGTCGGGACCCCTGAATAACTCCGAAAATATGCAAGATAGAAAAAAATGTTCCGTACAAAAGTTGTAGGGTTTTAAGTGGCGCACAGACAGAAATATCAGTGTGACCTTAGCTAGCGCTGTTAAGGTCACGTAAAAATCATTTTAAAAATTTTAAACAAAAATCCCTATTTTTTATTTCATTTTCTTGTAGTCGATCTCGAGAGCTTTTCAAAACACTAATTCCTAATGAATATCTTGTTGCAAATGATAAATAGAAATCATTATAATTTTCTTGTTAATTACATTAGTGTGTTAACAATCTTGGTATAAAGAAACCAAAAATTCGTTAGACGTTTCGATCAGTAATTTGATCATCTCAGTCGTTCGCAGTTATTCGTCTTAACGACTTTAATTTTACTCCACTATGTGGACCTTTATACACATCTTTTTAACGGTCTCATAGTATAACAATCAAACCGTTTTTTATTGTTTGAGTTACTGAAGATGATCAAATTACTGATCAAAACGTTTAACGAATTTTTTATTTTTTTATACGAAGATTGTTAACACACTAATGTAATTAACAAGAAAATTGAAACAATTAGCAAATAACAACCAGCGTTTTAAGCACGAATATCCTCGTTTCTTATATTTATTATTATTTCGTACGTGCTTTATTTCTCTTTCACCTTTGTTCATCATAATTTATTATTATATCATAATATAATTTATTATTATATCATAATATATTTGAATATAATAAAGCATTATATTCAAAGAAAACAAATTAATCCGACTAATTCAAAATATATTATACTTTATAATTTATTATAATTTGCACAAATTTTAATAAACTTTAATAATTTATTTAAAAAATATAATTATATAACTTTTAACACAAACAAAGAGGATTTGAATTAATTGTGATAATTAATTGTGATAATTCTCTCAATTTTCTAACAAATATTTATTAAACGTAACATAATTTTTTGACAGGGTCCCTGATAACTTAATCTTAGCAGAAGCATACATTATTTATGCGATGTCTCGTTATGTACACACACATATATATATATTATTTTTGCGTTATATATCAGGTAAATAAATACATTTGCGTCTAAAATCTAGGGATTCATATATTTCTTTTTATTGTCATACAATTGCTCTGAGCTCCGGTATTGAATCTTAATCAAAATATATCGAGTTTATTACAAAATAGCACAAATACTCTCTCTGGCAGAAGATCTTTATGTCACTATGTATTTTTCTAGATTATAAAAATTTAAAAAAAGAAAAAAGTTACTAATACACAAAAGAAAAATGTAAAGTATTTTATATTAGGTATTGACAATGCGTAATTACCTCTGCAACGCACATTTATCTGCGACAACTGTTGACTCTTTTCACGACTTACATTAGTATGAAATCGATTAAACATTACTAATTATTTCTTGCAGTATTATACTAAATCGAATATTATGCAAAATCGCCCGTCGCTTTCTCGTTTTAATATTCGTGAATATTAAAAGAATATGCTATACAACAGTATGCTATAAATACATTGTGCGTTATGTCTTTACACTGGCGGTAAATACTCATTACCTGCTGGTAAGTTACTCTTCCGATAGTCATAACTATCATTGATGTTAGTCTGTGCGATATCTATTTTAGTTTCTGTATGCATGTTTTCTTTCACCCAGGCGACGTCGATGGGTGTAAATGTTGCAACCTAAGATAAAGAAATCTAACGTTATGAAATTAATAAAGCAATAATAGATAAATTGGTAATAAAACATATAAGTATTAGTTACTTTCTCAAATTAACTATTAATAAAATTATAATTTAATGTAATATACATCCAATTTTTGAAATAACAATACTAATTATAATTAAAATTATCAACACATCAAAAATGCATTATTAAAAATTATGTTAATGTAATACCATCAGATTATGTTCAAAATAACATACATGTCGTTACGACATGCCAACGCAATGAAGAGAATGTGCCAATTGACAATAATAAATCATACATACTTGATTTGTAGGCAAGCAGCCGGTATCTTGGCTATAAATTCCAGCAATATGATATGTTCCTTTGCTATCGTAACAAGCCAATGGAGAGCCGATGTCTGCTTGACACATGTTATTCTGTTTATGCGCCTTGCCACAAATTATGTTATGCGCGATGTTAATGTGAGACTCCGCCCCCAAAACACGATTCTGACAAATGTCACGCGATAGGAAATCCACATCGACCATGTGCATGATGGCTCCAGCGTAATGAGCTAAATTTGCATACATATTGCATTTATATATTTATTCAATTCTATCTACTGATTGTTTTAAATCTTTTTTGTCTATTTTCTTTTTGACCGGAAAAAATGTTAACACGTGCATAAATGTTATAATCTCGGAACATTTGATCATAATTCGATAAATATTAAGAAATAGCTTATAAATATGTATATTACCTTGCAATATCGATTTACCCCATCCCGTCACAATACATTGCGAGGTTTCTTGCACTTGATATTCAGGATATTCAGGAAGACATAGCGTGTTGATGTGTAAATTAAATGTTGCGGGATGTACCAAGACTAATATAGCGGTATCATTACTGGATAGTCCTTCCACGTATCTAGGGTGATACTTGATCGTTCGTACATTGATAATTTCGAACGAAAGCGGCTCCTCGTGTTTAAGTTCGTAGCCCAATTTCCATTCTCCGAGTTTTACGGATAATTCATTCGGCGCAAATCTAAAGGAATTAAAGAATCTTTTCATTGCAATGAAAATATTTTATCTCTAGAAAGTTGTATTTGAGCGATACAGTACATTAAATAATCACAAGAAAAAACTTTGTTAAGAACAAATAAAAATTGTTTATCAATTTTTCTTTTAAATCTTATAGTCCCTTTAAATAGTTTCACAAATTCTATTAATAATTTTATATGTCGCATAATATAGAAAATAAATAAAATAACACAATTTTAAAGTACACATAAAAAAAGAAAATTACGAAGAAATGATAAAATTTTGTCGCGAATTATAAACTGTCTCAACAGATTTTTACCGATTTATACAGCTCGCAGCCGTCAAGACAATGTCAGATGCCACGAGTGCGCCGGAACATAAAATTTTACGTTCCTCTGACCACAGAATCATTGCTTGCCATGGAATCTCTCCGAAAGCTGCATCAGTTTGTTTAAAGCCGGATGGGCGTTGTCCCTTTTGTCAATATAAAAAAAGCAAATCCAATCGCCCTAATTATTATGTAAAAGCAATCTTCACATTTTCTTAATCCTTTATTGCTTCTAGTTAACGCTCACTCAAAATTTTAATTCTTATGTTAAGTACCAAACATCATGCATGTGTAAAATATATCTTATTTATTTTTAACTCTTTCATTATTTTTTATATTAATATTCGATATAACTTTGATTAGAGACTCAGATCGGACCGGAATCGAAATTGATAACCGTTCCGTAACCGTTTGTTTTGATCAAACCGAAACTGGAACCAAACCGAAATTTCGTAAAGTTTATAATATCGAAATCGGAATCGGATCAGTAAAATTATTTTCAGTTTTTTTACTTTTTTGGTTTTTTTTTTCGATTCCTACTCTATATTTTATTACTCTTGTTTGTTAAATTTTTTATTTGTTTATATCGTTTTCTTTTCTTCTTTACGTTATATGATTTATAGTGATTCTTGCATTTACGTTATGGGCCATAGTACATAAAAAACGTAACTTCGGCAGTAAATAAATTGACTAATTACAGTCATATATCTCGAGAAAATTTGACGATGATTGACTAATTTACTTATTGCTTAAGGGGGTTATCGCAATTTTTCAACAATTTAAGAATATTTTGAAAAAATTACCATGTATAAATAACATTATTATGTACAACATGTCAAAATTTCAGAGGACTCAGCTTCACCGAAATCGAGATATAAATTCTCAAAGTTGTGAGTTTTAATATTGAATCTTATGGAGGGATCGTTGTGAAAGGCATATTTTAAACAATAGCGTCGAAACAAAATTTAGGAAATTTTAAAACTAATATGTTATTAAGGATTGTAGTCACTATACTATAGTTGAATTTCAGGAAGCTTAGCTTCACGGTTTCCAAAATATTGCGTTTTAAAGTTCAAAACACAGAAAAGTAGACGTTACATGCTACCAAGACGTGGCAACGTTGCAACTGCTGGCCGACGACACGTGAGATTTCCGCGGCAGAAAACATGTAGGAATTTTAAATATATATATATAATCACGCATGAAGACATTTATTTATTAATATAGGCATAAGTATAGAGTAGATCAGAAAAAATAAAAATATATTATAAAATAATATAAAAAACTTAAAATAGATTAAAATATTTAAAATACATACATATACAGATATATAT